CTACGATAATTTTCTTTTTCGCCTTCTCATTGTTGTTTCTCAAGTTTTTGATTTTGTTTACATCTGCAATTCGATGATTGCATTTATTTTTCGAACATCTCAACAAATATCTTATTCAGTCAAAACATTTTCTTACAGTTCGAAGCTATGAATGAATCAATTTTGCATTACTTATTTCTTCCACATTTTCTACCGTCTTCTGTCAACCATGATTTTTTACTTAAATCAAATCATCAATATGAACACATGCTATTAGAATATTTAAATCTTTTCAAATCGGCAAATAACACCATACTTAGTGATTGTGTTAAATGTTGGTCTGTTTTACAGAACCCCTAAAACTTTTCTGAATCAAATTTACAATACATTATTGAACAACTACCGCCAGGAAGTTATATTCCACTATATTTCAATGCTCAAAATACTGCAATTCTAATTGAAATAGAAGAAAATAACATTGATCAACCATTAATTTCATCTTGGCAAGTTTTATTATCAACCGTAGAAATTACTTCTTCTATAGTTCCCTATTTGTTTTGCTTTTCAGTAACAACATACAGATTAAAGGATCGATCTTAGTTGAGCTCTAAAGTTCACTGTGAATTATTGCTGAATTTTATGTATAACACCATTGAACATTCCAAACCTTACAAAACTTCTCGACAAGTCGATAAAATACGTGATGTACCGGAATCCCATTATATATGTCAGTGGTGGATTCAACAGTTTCAAGAGATTAATATCGAAAACAATTTCAATATGTCTATTCAATTCAAGAGAAAACATTGTGATCATATGAGATGGAATAACACGTATTTACTTTTTCAACGTTCAGGCTTATGGTTGAATATCAAAGAAGTCTCTTAGATCATTCTAGTCAAACGTTTTGGAACACATCGGTACTGTTATTTATAAATTGTTAATCACCCATTTTCTAAGATATGTTATTTACAAAACATATTCTACAATATCCACTAATTTATTAGTTCATTACATTCGAAAAATCGTACGAAGATTGTATAAAATCAAGAATCTTTTATCGTCTATAAATCCAAATGATGTGAACGCATGGATACAAAGTACGAAACAAGAAATACAAATGAAAATTAATCAAATTTTTCCAAGATCAGATTGGCAAAAATTCATTCAAATAAATGAACAAGCAAATCAAAGTTTATTGATGGGCAACTTCGAATTGAATAAATCAAATATGTATGAGTATTTTTGTAAAGAATTAAAAGCTTATCTGAATAATAACAATTTGAGGCAAACATTCAATTTTTTTCCAAGAATCGCCAATTATGATAATTTCGATTACGCTAATCAAGATGCTTACATACCATCAATTAAAGAATTAGTCGAAAAATTCAATTATACTATTGCAACAGTTTTAACTCGTCTGGAAATTTGGGTTGCATCACATTTAAACCAATGAAATTAATCATCCAACAATATCTTTCATTGAGAGGAATCTGTTTGAAACTTTATTACATTTCTTCGAAGAATATCAGAGTGCAGCATTGAATCATTATTGACCAGGAAAAGATTCAATAGACCCTATGGGTTGTAGTCGATTTATTCTAACGTCATTAACAATTATTCGTTCAATGCATGAAAAAAAATGTAATGAACCAAGATTCCAACGACTAAAACTACATTCTGTTAATATTCCAAATCTTATGAATCTATTCGAATTTTTGGTCTTATCGAATCGAGAAGATCTGATTCGACTTCGTGATCTCAGAAGTTACTTTAATGAATTCAGTTATAAAACATATCCTGATCTTTTATCAAATATGAATCATGTTGATGCATTCGGTGTATATTATGCATCTCAGTCGGCGACGACGAATGAAAGCATACAGAAAATTAGAACTCAGACAGAATGGGATAAATAACAAAAAATACAGGAAGTCAAAAATTCGAAAGAAAGATATACACATCTTATGAATTCAATAATAGATCTTTCTTGTACATGTAATTATGCATATGACTATAGATATTGGGATACATGTTACAGATGTAGAATCAGAAATCAAGCAAATAGCATCCAGGTACATATTTACGAGTGTTCATTACCATCGAACCGTGACAGTGCATTTGCTGTTATTTTTGAATTACAAATGTCGATTGACATTCGAAGTTATCGTGATATTGTCTGGCAATTTGTGAATCGACCAAAACCGCACCCCAAGCATCAAATATACGAATGGTTCAGTGTTTCATCTCATCAAAGCAAGTTAGGTTCATTCTATACTGGTCATAAGAACTGTAAAATGAAATTAGTATTCTTCACAAAATCTGTAACGAAAACTTATTATTCATGTCCACTATCCATTGCCTCTGCATCTATCGAAGATTTTCTCTACGACAACAGTTTGAGTATTCAAATCTCGCCAACAAATCCAATAGGGTTCAACAATGAATGTCGCGTATTAACGCCTCCACTTGATCGTCCAGAATACAAACAATTACAATTTACAATAAACACCACGGAGTTTGTACAAAATCATGTCATTGCGAGACTGTCTGATTGTTCAGTACGACTGAAACCTAACCAATTTGTAGAATTCGGCTCATTCAGATCGGGCCATCGTTTGCAATGGTGGAATCTCTTAGCAATGCTTGAAATTGACACATTGCCTATTTCTGAAGAAAGTGTAACAATATTGATTATGCATTCAATATTGCAATAAGGTCCATGAACAATGGATGTAAGCTCACCCTGTAACTCTTGGTGATTGGAAGTCCATGAGCAGTTATTTGAAGATCATTTTATCGATGAATTAATTGCGAGATTAGATTGCCGTTTAGATGGTTACGAATTAAATTGGCAAAATGAATTAGTATTAGTAACCATTACAGTCATTACTATGAGAACGTTTACCATTTGTAATTCAACACGACAAGATAAAATTGCTGATTTAGCAATGAAATGTCGTAGAATCGGTGAAAAATGGATTTTTCTTATTTCGAAAAATCTTCAAATAGTCTTGTCTTCAGCTCTTAATGAAATTGAACAACTTCGTCTCAAGATGGTAACTATTGGTATTCCATGTATATTAACATTTTCAACTCATTCAGATCGAATACATTAATTATTGTCATCGAATGAACATATCATATCTCTACTAAAAGCAGTAACTACTATTCATTCACGATAATATTATTTTAAACAAGAATCAGTCAAATATGAGTACATTTATATGATGAGATTTAGCGCATGTATCTTAGTAGCTGTAAAGCCAACTATTGCTGAATTTCTTCAAAAAACTTCCTTTCAAAGTTTAAATGATTTTGCTGCCATCTATTGGACTGTCATTAGGAGCAAACGTACTATGAACGGGAAATGACAAAAATGAAAGTAAGATCCTTATGACGGTTGTTATGATTGCCGATATGAATCAAGATATATATTGATTGATTGTATTGAAGTAACCTTGTTAGTTGATGGAATGACTATAGATTTTTACCTCAACAAATAATAACCAATGAATTATTTGTACGCGTATTTGGTAATCATATTTTTCAAGTTCAGTTGGCTGAATCACCTAAAACTTATATTACTAAACATTCGTATCATGGAGATGGAAAAGTTCAATATGAATTTCATTTCGATGATCAAACCAAATTTTTGACAATTACTGAACGACATATTCAGAGAGATGGGACGTTTCCATTGACTCTTCATTGCTGTTTCCAAGCAGGGTCAGTGCATGAACGCAAAAAACAGATAGTCGAATTTCAATCTATTTGTTTTAAAGAGCCTGATTTTTTAAATAATAAACTGTACATATTAAGATTGAAAAAAGGATATGTTCTTACTACCGTGAAAAATAATCCACAAATTTTGATTAATCAATCATCAACATTCTTTCAAAATTTGTTCAGACGATACTTTAATCGTCTAGATGACAAACCTTATGTTTATATGATGCACGACAAAATCTCTCAGGCTGGTATTACTATTCACATCCACTTATCTCGTTTAGGCATTGCTTTCGAATACAATTCTTCAACTAATCTCATTAAATTTCGTGAATATGCAGATATATGTATTGATAAAGATCAATGGTTGGGAACATTAACAGGTTTAACATCTGATCTTCTCTTATTACCATTACCAGCTAATAACTACAGATTGAATCATTTTCCATATCAAAAATTAATTGTACCTTTTCGCATGGTTCAAAGTATCAGAAATCAGCACACGAATCATCAAACTATTACCATAAATCGATCATATTTATTATCATTTGCTCATCAATATTTTGTTTTCATTCTCAATGATAGATTAAAAATACTTCAATCAACAGATAGCCATACTGAATGGCTTTATTTAGCATTATTACATGCGATAACTTCTCATCCATTATCAGATCAATATACT